AGGCCAACAGATCGGGTCAAAGCCAGTTTACATAAAAAAAAAGTTCATTTTAACTCCCAAATAAACTAAAATACCATTGCTTCAATAAATAAATAAAACCACAAATTTAAGGGGACTTTGACATATCGGCAAATGAAATGGCGAATTCAATGTATTACAAGTAGCCGAAACAACGTATTTACTGATTGCCTATTGTATATTCTATCCCCATATCATGTGGAATCTATTGAAAATCCCAAGAAATGAGAAAGAGGAAGAAAATAAATGTTGGAAAAGGCAAATAATTGGAAGGGAACAGGAAAAAGAAAATGTCGGTGTTGACGTCGGCCATGGAACCAAGCTTTGACCCTCTAGATCAGTAGGTATATATTTTTTGTCGACTACTCTGTTGACCTTTATTTCCTCCAAACTTGGTATACGTCGCTTTCAAAGTTTTCTTAACTAACTCTGTGTTGCTTGTTTAATCTGTACAACAGGCTTCTAATTACCCCAAGTACAAGCTAGGAAGATGATCAATCGTAAGTTGAAGCTATCGTCAGGTAACAATGTGTGTATTCTTGTTGTTATAGTTCAATTGGTGTCTCTTGTTCATGAATTAGTTAATTTATATCGTGTTAGTAAACTACGTAAATTTATTTGTATTTTATTATTTTGCATCGTAGATTTCTCAATTCGTTACAAAATGGTGATAGTAGATAAAGACAAGAGATGAGAGTGAGCCACAAATATTTGGATTGGGGAGAGATCCTGTTAGAAACTGAGTGATTCTGAGTCAAGAAATTAGGAAAGATAGGAACTGGGAATTACGCATAGGGAAAACATATTAGGAATTTGAGAAGAATTGGAGAAGAAATTGGGGAAGAAGGGCCAGCAGAGAGAAGAAGAAATAGATTAGGAATTGCATTTTCAATATTCTTCTTTCAAAATCTCAAATGACAATGTTGAATAATTTAGATAGGACTTAAATAACAAAAATACCCCACACAAACACAACCACTCAGCCTAACTCGACCGTCTACAAAAACCGAATTTCTATCATTCCATTATCTCTAATATTATCTTGCCCTCAATGTCCAAGACTGGGTAACTCTGTTGAATGACCATTGCATCCTCCATAAGACTCTCCTCCAAGTCTCCATCGACGGTAACTAGAGGTGCAGCTGCCTCAGCCTGCTTGATAGCCCCTTTATACCTCTTTGCAATGACACATGAAATGTCGGATGGATGCACATGCACACCTTTGCTTGAACTAGTATTAGCACTGTGCTAACGACAATAAAAAAGTTAGCACCTTATCTCTTTCCGAAGCACCGACCTCATAAAAATATATGTTAATAAAAAGATTCTCACTTCTGATTTATATTATTTTATTGTGGGACATGATTGATAATTCAATAAAATCTAGATTTCTAAACTAAAAACCTCAAACATGGTGTGTAGCACCGTTTGTAAAACCATATTGAAAGTCAAACGAGCCTCATTTGTGGTAGGATATTTTGTGATAGGATCGTGGTTCAATTATTTAGTATCGTTAAAATACCTTTTTGGAATAAACGTATTTTTTATAAGAAAACCGTACTGGCAAAATTAGGGTAATGTTTCGTAGTATTATCGGAATAAAAGCAGAATATACCGGATAACAAGTCTGAATATGTTAAATATGCATATGTATCAACTGTGGAGAATTAGTTGCATCTAAAGTAACAAAAACATCATAAAACCATCTAGCCCATACTCGATCTACATACAATACAACTTTTTTTTTTCGTTGAATATACAATACAACTTCTTTAGATGGGAAGACACTCTTTTTTACTAGTTGGCTACCCAAAGTTGAGTGTGGAGCAAACAAAGTATCAACTGAACCCACAAACATATTTGTGGAAGTAGCAACCATTTTTGAACAACTACCATCATCTTGTGAACTAGAACTACGATCACGAGGTTCCTTAAATATGAGTTTGGTAGCTCAAGATTTCTTCTCATTAGCTCCATATTCATTCACATGTAATCATAAGGCACCTTTTGGCATATAGTATTATTCCCACTATCACTAATTCGAGCTAGATGTTTTTCATTCAAATGAGTACTTCACCCCTAAATACTTTGCCACAATGTATTCAAGTGCATACCTCAACTTTTCTCTCAAAATGAAGGGTACAACCGTACAAGTGCATATACCTCAACTTTTCTCTGAAATTTCATCCACGAAATAGGTTGAAAATTTCTTACTCTCCGCTTCTTCAAAACCCTTCAAGCACGGATTGATGAGGGTTTGGTTTGTCGGAAAACCAAATTTCAGATTATTTTTGTCCCTTTTCATCAAACAAAACGACATTGTTTTGTTCAGTTTATTTTTTTTTATTACAATTAATCAACCGGCGATCAGAACGAAACGTACATGTATTTTGCGGGATGTCAGTCTGACTGCTTATACTGGCCGATACGATGTTGTCCATGTTTTCTTGATATCGTGCCGCAATTGATCCGGTTGTAGATTTTTTCGATTTAATCAGCATGTTTGGTACGATAACTTAATCCATGATTTGTAGCAATTATTTGGTGAATTGAGATTTTTGCCTCGTACTATCATCGATCAACCGTGCACGATAGATATAATTACTACCGTAACGGTAACGTAAGAAAATCAGATGATTTTTCTTACTTATCCAGTTTGGATTTGGTTTTTCTAACACCAACCCAATTTGAATGGGACTTAGATGAATGGTCTTAAAATAAATAAGAATTAGTTTTCGTCCCCGGGGTCTCACACACTTATTAAGGCTAGTCTAGTGGATGAGATAACCAAAGTTTGACAAAGTACATATTTTCTCCAAGTCAAGTCCAAAGTGTGCAACCCTATCTCACAATATAGCATCACTTGCTGCGTCACTAACCAATTTTGAATTGCACACTCCAAATTCAACATTAATTGGTGTTAGTTTCCACGAGGTACGTTTACTTTGTACAACAATTGGGATGTAAAGGGAAGTCAACAACAAACGTTTGGCAAGCCTTTTCAAAGTCCCATAAAAGAATATGCATCCATCAGAAAATGAGCTTCCTTTCTCTTGGCTTCTGTGTTAATGAGAGTTGACAACTGTACACGGATTGTGTTGACCTGCCCGTTTCTCAATTTAAGAGCCTCATAAAAAGCCATGCAAACCTTCAAAGGCAGATAGATACAGACAATTGTCAAATGAACGTGTATCTACAGCATTCAATCGGCGTTGGAAGGTCAACATGAGACTTCTATTCCTCAGAGTCAGAAGTCGATGAATATTGCTAACAAGTTTTTTCTCGTTTTTATCTATCAGTTACATGTAGATTAGATCGAGTTCCAGCTTAAGGGTCGTTTAGGAAGATACAAATATTTGGTCAATATACATAAATGCAGGGTACCTCGTGGTAGTGTAGTGTGACATTCGATAGTTCGGTATTGAAAATGATCAACAATTATCTAAAGAATTGTTACGAATCGACACAAACACATATCAAGGATGTCACTAAATTGGATCTCCTGATAAATGCCCTTACTAGCTACTAGTTAGAAAATTAGAAAAAGATGGATCAGTTACGACTTTTTTTGAATCAAGCACCCGTTGCAGAAATGAAAAACCACCCACTAGTAGAGGCTGGAACAACCTCCCAAAGAGCTCGAGTTACTTTCCTATAGGTATGATTCGACGCATTCTTCGTATGAGCCGCCAACGGACAGTGGCGGAGCTACGTCTAAGGGAGGGGGTGCATGCAGCCCCCTTGGGGGTGGGCAAAAAAATATTAAGTACATATAGTGGGAAATGGGGATCAAACCTCTAACCACATGATTCACACGGAGCAGTCTCACCATCTCGGCTAGAAGAGGATTTTAATTTATTTGACACACACATTTACTTATATCAGAGTTAATTATCTGTCCTAATATCAAAACACTATCGTCGATCCCAGCAAGGCAGAAACCCCCAATTTCATTTTCGTTTTCCTCTACCCAGCAGCAGAGGCGCTGCAAGTGCACTCGCCGACCTCCAAGCTTCCATCCTCCAACGGCGGCGAGTCCACCCTCCAAGCTTTCCATCTCCGGAAATGGAAGAGACGTAATCACGAGGTAGCAAGCAAGCTGCAACTTTTCCCCAACCGTGCATACAATCGTCGAGGTTCATTGTAAGCGATGTGTGTATAACTATTATTATGTAATTGTACGAATCTTGGGTATTATGTTATTGACTTCATATTTTCGTTTAAAGTTGACTTTTTTATTGTATAGTTGATTTTTTCATTACATGAACAAGCACCCCCTTGACAAATTTTCTGGCTCCGCCACTGCCAACGGATCCACGAGATGAGACTCTATGCAATTTACGAATTTCATTATCTGTTTATCACTCTTCTAATGCGAGCTCTACATGTGACACAATTAAAAAGGAAGGAAATCATATTTGATCAAATCCTTACAACAACCTCGATGATCCAACATACAAATTCAACCATTGATTTTAACCTTTATGTATATCACGAAAACATATTTATAGCAAGATTATTCATCCCACGAAAACAAAATATCTTCTTTTGATAGATTTTTCATAGATTTTCTTCTCTGTTTCTTATATAACAATCTTAATATTATCGAGACCTATCATATTAACAATACATACAAAGGAAAATAGTAGTCAATACTCAATCGGTCACGCTAGAAAAACTGGCAAGAGAACGTGGCAAGCAAAACGGATGACGACGACACATGACGCTCTTTTTACCACTCCCTGTTTTTCCTAGTCTTCAAACAACAGCATATGCTTAGCTTTTTGCTAGCCGTGTGCCTGTCCTCTTTCGATATCGAGACATGTGACAAAATTATGCCCCTAAAATATTCATTCTTCTCCAATTTCCTTCTTTTAATTTAATTTGTTAATAATGGAAACTCTCACTTTATGATTCTGATCTGAGCCGGTCCGGTCTTTCCACCAAGCTTCGTGTCGTGATAAACGAGTCAATGGCTAAGCCCTAAAATCTTAGCTGTTCCTTCTGTCTTCTCTCAATCTGAACCTTCCCCACTCCCCCTTTTCCCCTTATATATACCCACACGCTTCCTTATCGCATTCACTTCATCTCCAATTAGAAGAAAAAATAAACAACGCAAAGACCAGAGCAAGAAGAAGAAGAAGAAAATTTTCAACCAAGCTTAATGGACTACTCTTCATCGCTGGTCGATATCTCTCTAGATCTCAATCTCAACCCTCTCCGGCGCAGCGACGACGGACCCGCCTCCGCCCTTTCCGTCAAAAAGGAATGGAGCTTCGGTGTTCCTTCAGCTCCGGCTAACTTCATGGGGCTAGGAATGAAGGTTTCTTCCGTGAAAGAAGAGGTGGGTTCTTTTCCTTCCTTCAACCCTCTACTTCCAACAACTTAAATTTCGTTTCTTGTAAAAAAACAGAATCTAATTTGAATTTTAAAAAAAGTTACAGTCGACGGCGACGGAGACGGCGGGGGCTCTGGTGGAGGAACTGAACAGGGTGAGCGCGGAGAACAAGAAATTGACCGAAATGTTGACGGTGATGTGCGAGAACTACAACGCTTTGAGGAATCAATTGATGGATTACATGGCCAGAAACGCCCATCCTGCCGAGGCGGCGGCCGCGGAGCAAGAGGTCGAGAAGGAACAGAGTCCTTCTTCCCTCTCCCCTGCTTCCTCCAGAAAAAGGAAATCCGATAGCGCCAACAACAACAACAACGACAATTACAACCTTCCAGTCGCTGCCAACAACAACAACAATGGCAACTCGGAGAGCAGCTCCACCGACGAGGAATCTTTCAAGCGGCCTCGTGAAGAAGTCATCAAGGCCAAGATTTCTAGGGTTTATGTCCGAACTGAACCCTCAGATACCGGCCTGGTAAGTCCACCGCCTTGCTACTACCCCAAACCCTTGTCAATCCTGATTGTAATTTGCGGGTTGCTGACCGTTTCATTTATCGAATGATTGCAGATTGTGAAAGATGGGTATCAATGGAGGAAATACGGCCAAAAGGTCACCAGAGATAATCCTTGCCCGAGAGCTTACTTCAAATGCTCTTTTGCTCCCAGCTGCCCTGTTAAAAAGAAGGTGAGAAAGAGCTGCCCTGTTAATTCCAATTCGAATTTGATAGTCTGTCTGCATAGTTCATTGGACTCCCTTGTTGATTAGTGTTTTGGTACTAATTTTCAGGTTCAGAGGAGTGTCGAGGATCAATCGGTAGTCGTCGCGACATATGAAGGAGAGCACAACCATCCTCACCCATCAACACCAGAGGCAGCAGCTGCAACAGCAGCAAGCTCCAGCAGCCGCAACCAGGCCATTGCAGGCTCACCATCCCTCACTGCTGGACCAACAACCATGACACTGGACCTCACTAAATCGAAGCCCAGCGCGGCCAGTACGAGCGCGAGGAACGTTGTTGCTCCTTCTCCTAAACCACTAGCAGGAGCAGTTGATGGTCCTGAAATTCAGCAGTTCTTGGTGGAGCAGATGGCTACTTCATTGACCAAAGACCCAAACTTTACAGCAGCTCTGGCCGCAGCCATCTCCGGGAGGATGCTTCAGCAGAACCATAGTGAAAGGTGGTAGATAGATGGTGGAAGAGTATATTTAGTTATGTTTGTGTTTTAGGCTGTTCTTGTTGCAACTCCATCGTGAGCAAATGTGTAGATAAGAATCTAAGATAATATACTCCGTAGTTTTACAGCACAGAAACAGAGTGATTAGAAATGGACAAGTGAGGATATGTTAGATTCAATAGAACTTGTTGTGAATTGCACAGTAAATGGAGCAGTTTTCTCTGGGGTTTTCCCTTTGTAGCTTCATTGCTTTCTCCATAATACAGTGTTTTGAATCCTATCCAAAATGCCAGTCCCCCAAGTTAAAGTTTCAGAATTCACCCAGTTGGTTGATGAAGTGTGTGGCTACCAGAGTTTGTGGAAATGAATGTAAAACGTAGCAAGTTGGGAAGGGCAAGGATAATAGTCGTCTTCTTATTCTCTTCTAGCTGCAGTTTGGTTCACCGAAACTAGCCGTCCAAAATTGACTGCCAGCTGCTGCAAGTCTGCATCAGTTTTGACTACAAGTTGGGCTTACTGCTCGTAGACTTAAAATAAGGACGAGTTGGTTTGGATGGATGCGGATTTCTTTCCTACGCCAGCCGACAAGTTGTTTTGGACAAAATCCTACTACCTCCTCCTTATTCTTCTTTGTTCTGCTCCACTACCTTTCTTATCCATTTCCCAAGTTATGGCCACTAACTATTCTGCCGTCGGCTCAAAAGTCTTCAAAATAGAGTTAAGTTCCAACTTGGAATGGTGAATGTTACCGCAAGGTAGTGGTCTATCCCTGTTTATCAAAGGGCGACCTTTATCAAGAAAATTTCAGAGTGATCTCAATTCTCAAGCAAACAGATTCGATAGCTTAATAACACAATCTTCAATATCAGAATATAGCTAGAGGGTATTAGAGTATGAGCAGTACGAATAGTATTATGGCATAATACGAGTATTGAAAAAGGCATGTTAATTAACAAACCTGTTGATGATGTAATGTAGCTTGCTTGCTAGTAGGGTCATCCATTTTTCACTTTGTCCTTGTTCTGGTAATTGAGAAAGGCATTTCGAGAAAGGGGAATATTTAGTCAAATAACAACAACCGTCAATCTTGACTTAATTATCAAAGCAATTTCTCCCTCTGCCTGTCCTTGTGGGCTGTGTGTGGCCTTTAATTAATTCCTTTTAGACAGTTCCAAGCAAGCTCTAGGCGTTCTTCTGGTCGGTCTCGCGTCGGAGGACTAATCGCACTTTGCTTCTTCCCTGTCTCTGTTTTTCCTTTGTCTTTAAGCAAAGTCGCAATCAAGGATCCCGATTTCTTTCTTTCTTTCTTACTTACTTTTCTCTTTTGGAAATCCGAGTGAGAACACGAGGGAACTTCTCTTTTCCTTCCGTGCATGCTTCCCGCCATATATTCACCGATCGTAAAAGAAAGCAAGACCGACTTTTGTGAATTCGGCCGACTTTTGTTCCGTTTCTTCTGGCCAACACCACCACCTGCAGCCGCCTCCGCCGCCGACCTTTCGACCAATAACTTGACGGTGGTTGGAGACCCAGACCCTGACTTTTTTCGCTGGTCTCCGGTAATCGGTCTCCAACACATGCATGTTGTTGATACTTTCCTGATTAAGTTCATTGAATTACAATAATTTGCCTACGTCATTGGACTAGTTTCTACCTTTTTAAGTGTATACTAACATGAGGAATTTTATAGCATTGGTGCTATAAGATTTTGTCTTTATGGTACAACTTGAAATTGTACCTTTGACGTTATGGTACAACTTCAGATTGTACTTATGCTTTTTGTATAAACTCTTTTATGGTACAACTTGAACTTGTACCTTTATGTGATGGTACAACTTCAAGTTGTACCATAACATAATAGTACAAATTTCTTTATGGAACAACCTGAACTTATACATTTAACATTATGGTACAACATAACATAATATATAGTACAAATTTCTTTATGGAACAACATGAACTTATACATTTAACATTATGATACAACTTTAAGTTGTACATTAAAGCACCAATACTTTATAGCATAGTAGAAGTGCTCATACTAACATCGCATTGGATTGTGCATTTTGTGATATCGAATTTGATTTAATCGTAGTTAATTACATCACATTTATTGTTGATTATGGCGATCAAAACACCATGAACAATCAAGATTACAGATCATGTATGATCCAAGGGCGTGTCCAAGCAATTAACAACCTAGCAAAATTGAACACGGTGAATGAACAAAAAAAAAAAAGTTGCTTTGTTCCTGGGGAGAAATATTTGATATTCGAGTCAGTTGAGAGCACCTACACCCTTGGACCTCCACGAGTTGAAGTTTCTACAATAACTAATTAGTTAATCGTAGTGACGAGTTGTGGAAATAATTGTACCACATGCATTGTCAATTATGACTGATCAAAATGTAAGAACATGTTTGGTGGAGAAACCCAAAGCAAGAAGAAAACTCATAGCCAAATGCAGTTTCTTTATACGGTGTTATGTGCAATTAGGGTACTATGATGATAGATCTTGGTATCAGTCTGGGTTGGTATTGTAATTGTCAGCTCGATGACCTGTGTTCTCGGTTTTTAAATGCACAATTTAGCTTATTTATTTAGAAAGTCGATTAAGATCGCAGATCATGCGTGATCCAGTACAGTGTCTCCAAGCAATTAACAAACTAGCAAAATTGAACGAGGTGAATGAACAAAAAAAAAAAGTTGCTTTCTAGTCAGTCGAGAGCACCTATGCTCTTGGACCTCCACAATTTTGAAGTAAATTTCTTTTTGTGCATTTATTCCAATCTAGAAGTACTCAGAATTGGAAAAAACAACGAACGGAATCGCAAGGCAAAGAAGGAAAATAGTAAAAATGGTTTGTCCGTTGAATACGAGTTAAGGGTCTGGGGTGGGTGAGCTCGTTAGTCAATTGTGTGGCTTAGGCTATCACAGGAATCGTCTTTGTGAAAGTTCTTCAGGCAAGTCAGGTTCACTGAATCCAAAACACATAGAATTTAATTATCCTTTTCAGTATCACATTTCAATTCTGCGCTAGCAGATAGAGATGGGCGATGGGCGGATTGTATGGACTTTGGTTTCAAATTGGTTCACTTGTTTATTAGCAAGTTGGTATAATTACAAGTTATTATTTTCTAACATTCTTCTTCGGGTTGGGTTGGATTGGTGGCGAATGGGTGCGATTGGATTGTCGGTCAACTTGGGGAAAAAAAATTTCAACTAACCATTAGTAAAGTTTATTACCATTTATAATAAGAGTCTCGAAAATTAGTAAGACTGTATCAATTTAGACACTTCTGACTTTGTCTTTTGTGAATTCATGTAGTATTTGTATAAAAAATTTCATTACTTCATCAAAAAATAGTATAGAGTAAACTAACACATTTTGCGACTAAGGAGTGTTATTACACCTACCAAAACTATTAGATTCATTATGTAAGGTATAACGACAAAACGGGGAAGAAGGCAGCGACAAACAACCCAGCCCTTGGAACATACTACAACCCCAGGTGGCGAGTCTTGAGTACCCTTAACTAGGAGAGCATTGTAAATATGGGAGTTGCTAAAGGTCGTCCTTAAAATTTCTAAATGTCGCCCTAAAAAACATCAAAGTTACAAATTTAACCTTTTAGCTTCTTTACTCTTCCTTTAGCAAACAAACACAACTTAGTAAAGAAAATAAAACATTATTCAAAAGAGAGAATCCATCATCGTCATTCTGGAGTTGGAATCGTCGATATGATGTCTGGAGCATGACTAGCGACTCTGAATCGGAAAAGTTCACTAAAAAAATTGAAAAAAAAAACAAAAAAGGGAACCGTAGCTCATTTGCGGTTGCACCATGGACCAACCGTAACTTGCCTTAGGTTGAGCGTTTTTTTTGAAAATTTCGTTAGAGAACGGACGACGACGACGGCGGGAAAGACGCCAATGAACTGGTGCGTCGAGAGGGATTCGCGAAGAAGGCAGAAGAGAGGTTCAGTTTGACGGGTTAGGGATTGTTTGGTTTGTTTAAATTTGAAATTTTATTGGGGGTATATAAGTCATTTATCATTAGAGTTAGGGCGACCGTTAGCAATTTTAAGGGCGACATTTAGCGATTCAGGTAAATATTAGACACCTTACGTAGACTCATTCATCTTTGGTACAAGACCGCTCGATCAGTGGCCTATTACTCACTATTTCAAAGGTGACTGCTTCTAGGCAAACCTCATGGTTGTCTCAGTGTCTCTGCACTACTACCAACTCATTAATCACTGCGCGATCATTTTGGGAACTGATATAATTAACAGTTTGTATTTTGCATCCCAATATCTAATGGACATACACAACATAATAACCAATAATAGTAGTCCATAAATATTATTTATTCTCCACATTTAGAAGTACATGGTCAGTGTGTAGTGCGCTTAGAAAATGTGATGACTATTCATAGTATAAGAAACCAGTTGTTGTAATTTTAAAATATGGTGCAGGTTTATTCGGGTTACCCACAATCCACCTTCTCGAATAAGTGCAAGCAAGAGATTTATCAATTTGCAATCCACCCACATCAAACACCCACCCAGTGTAGCTTCGGTCAAATTAGTTTTGAACAATTAGATAATTATAAGCCTTAAAAATTTTTAAAACTAATTGAATATCAATACTACAAATCAAGAAGATTGATAGTCGTTGAACATAGTTCTTTTACCAAACGCTATTTATAGAAAAATCTAACACAAACTATCTCATTGCAAACAAAACAATTTATTGATAGTTATCATATTTTAAAATAATGAACTCTATGTCGCGAATGAAGTAAAAGTTATAAAAGATAATTATAATTTAATTGAATTAATCACGATTAAAGTTTTGAGATAAGAAAAAGTAGTGAATTATTATAAAATGTGCATTAACGAATTGATATATCATGTGATTTTGCCGGTAATGACCCACCTGCCACACAACCACCAGATCCATCCACACATGTGATGGATGAGTTATAATCGGATAGATTCGGATGGGTCTAGCGATTTACCACGCATTGCCCATCCCTAATTCCAACACCAGTATTAAGTAGGGCTAGGTAGAAGTCGGTTTTGGATTTTAGATTTTATAGCAAGATCATTAATAAAATTACTGTTGGTGGTCTCGGATACGACTATTAGACCGATCACCAACTTCTCATGAATTTTTTAGTAATTTATGCAGGTTGAGGTTATCACAGTGTTCCCATCACAAAAAAAAAAAAAAAACAATCATAAACAAAATCGTGACAAAATCATAAAAAATCGCACTTTTACTTTGCAGATGAGTTTTTGGTCTTTGCCAATGGAAATGTGAGAGCTGTTGCTGGTATTAGAAGGTTGTTGGACAAGTTCTATCAGGTCTCAGGACTTCAATGTAACATGGCCAAGTGTAACCTTTTTTTTTTTTTGCTGTAATATTGGATGAGGAGAAGAATTTTATATCACAAACAACAGGATTCCCTTTAGGTGAGTTGCCAGTGCGGTATCTGGGGGTTCCGCTCATTACTGGTAAGCTAAGCTCATCTGATTGTCAGTTATTTGTGGATAGGATTACTGCAAAGATTAGAAGTTGGAAGGCTCGATCTCTTAGCTATGCAGGCAGATTGCAGTTGATATCTGCTATGATTACGAGTACTCTTCTATACTGGATGATTATTTTAGGTTTGCCAATGAAAGTATCACGTAATGTGGAAGCAATCTGTAATAAGTTTTTGTGGGGTGTTGGGGAAGATGGAGGAAGGAAGAGAGCCCCAATTTCATGGTCTCTTGTGGCGAAACAAAAAATGGAAGGAGGCCTTGGCATACGTGATTTTAAAACATGGAACTTAGCTTGTGTTGCGCGTCATATTTGGAGTATCCTTTCTGAAGCAGGATCGATATGGGTGGTATGGATTAAACGATATAGACTGAAGCATAGGTCTTTGTGGAATCTACAGCAAGCTTCTGCTGGTTCTTGAATTTGGAAGAGAATTCTGAAAGTTCGTGCTGCAGTTCAGTCATTCATCTAAGGTACAGCCTCATCCCTGCTTTGGAATGGAACTCTTATGGACAAGTTTTCTGTTAAGGTTGTTTGGGGTACAATTGGGGGGGCAGCAGTGTCAACATGTCCTTGGTATAGAGCTGTTTGGGGTAAACCATTGATTCCCAAGCATAGTCTGATAATTTGGTTGCTTATAATGAGTCGAATGATTACTAAGGAAAAGCTAGTAACTCATAGCATCTTAACAATAAGTTAATAAATGCCTATAATTCATGTCTAAAGTAGAGTAACTCATAGCATCTTAACAATAAGTTCATAAATATAGAGTGCACAGAATTTAGATAAGTTAATAAATGCCTGTAATTCATGTCTAAGGTAGAGTAACTCATAGCATCTTAACAAGAAGTTCATAAATATAGATCTTAACAATAAGCCACATTCCCCTCTATGCTAATGAATTTGGGAAGGGCCTAGTTGGTGAATTAGATTACTTTATTGAAACTAAGAATGCATCCAAGTACCTCATATGTATCTTCTAATATCAAATGTATCATATTGTTGGTGATTTACCTTTAAAATATACTTTTAATAATTAATTTCATGAAAAAAATACCCATTTAGTGAACTAAAAGCTTAAAATCGTTAGCGTTTTGGTGTACTAAAAGCGTAAAAGCGTAAGCTTTTAAGCTCTAAAGTGCAATTCAATCCGATTTTATACACTAAAGATTTTCTATGGAAACTGAAGCGTCTCAGTGACCTAAAGTGTAAAACCGTAAGCTTTTAAGTTTCAAAACGCGATTTTGACTGCATTGCATTTCGCTAGTAATCATAATGTACAATTTTCACCAAAACTGGGGATTATAATTTGTATGGAAAAAGCGATTGTCAACAATTTTTTCCTTTAAATACTTTCCTGAATCGTCAAATTCGACAAATTTTGTAACTAAATGGGAGCTCCATCTAGTCGATTCAACAATTTTGGCCCCAAAAATGTCGAAATCAACATTCAGTAGAGATTCCAGGATAACAATAGTCCGTCGATGGACTAATTGGGATCCCAGTCTAAACAACAAGCTTCCCATTTAATTTGGAGAAAATTCACGAAGTTATCAGTCTCTGTTGCGAAACGTACTAGGTGTCTGTTTGGAAGTTGATATTTTTCAAATATGTGTTTTTATGAATACATGTATTATAAATATAAAAATTGTAAAAATTAGATAATTGGAAAAATGTCTTGTTTGTTTGTAGCCATTCAAAATTTTGAAAAAAAAAATCACTTCATAAGCTAAAAGTGGAACAAATTATTAGGGGTCGGTTGAAGTTATGATTTCAAATGGTGTATTGTGCTAATTCATGTTTTTGTGAGATTAAAAGTTATTTTTTATACTTATATTAAACTAGAATACATGCATTAACTATTTGGAGGACCCACCACAATCACTCAAATTTGAGCAATTATCAATCTTTACTTTTTGTTGAGATTCTCACCAATCACTCAAAACAAAAATTAAACATCCAAACAAGATATTTGTCTAATACATCAATTGATTCAATACATCAAATGATAATACACTAATTAACTCAATACATCAATTGATGGCCCATCTCAAATGCATTATGCATGTATTGGATAAAGTTTTGAAAAAAAAAAAACAATAAATTCTCCCAAATACATTAATTCAAAGAATTATTCATCTATAATCATAACTTCCAAACGACCTCAAGTTCAGGGTCTCAGTTGAGAAAAGTATCCAAGTCGATGGGCCAAATGAGCATTAATCCAAAAACAAACCCAGAATCATGTTGGATGATGAACAGACAACTTATCTTGCATACATTACAATGAATGAACCAACATATATACAGTACAGAGCTGCCTTGACACCTTTATTCCAAGTACTTTTACACAAGCTCCATTCCCAGATGCAAAGCATTTACCCCACGTTCAATTCTGCAGTAGTAGTAGCTGGTAAACAAACCACGACAGGGAATCCCACAACCATTTATCTCTCACTTCACCAGTACTCTCTCTCTATCCACAAATCCATTGAATGACTCATCTTAACTTCTTTCTTTCCCGCCTTGGACTTCACAGCCTTCTGCAGTTGTTCCTTTCAATTCTGCTCCTGTTATGCATTCATGGTACCGGAAGCAACTGACGAGATGGTCGTTCGTCAGGCCGGCTACTTGCATGAACGAGTATATAACTGTTGGCCCCACGCTACGGAATCCCCTTTTCACAAGATCTTTGCTTATCGCCTCTGCTTTGGAATTCTTCACTGGAACCTGGCGGGTGTACCGGAACTGGTTAACTATGGCCTTCTGGTTCACAAAATTCCACATGTACTTGTCGAATGACCCAAACTCTTCTACAACCTGCCATGAATTTGACAACCCAAATTGAGAGTTCTAGAATGCATCACATTTTCCCTTTACTACTTCCTGTGGCGTAATTCTACGAAGTACAAACCTTGCAAATTTGGCGTGCATTTTCAAGGATCGATCGCAGCTTCTGTTCTGGTAGTAGGGAGCTGGCAGGGCTTCCTGCCATGATGACCTTCCTCTCATTCAGTTTCGACACAGCATGTGGGTCAAAACCTAGAAACACTTCTCTGCAACCACAAAAAGAATTACCATTGATCCCTATTGAGAAACCCAATAACATGCTAACTTTGATTTCTATCCAGATATCAACAATGTTACCCAGGGAGAATGATAATAGTACCTGAATGCCTCCCGTTTATTGAGGATGGCAGGCCATGATAGTTCTGCCAAGGCACCAGACAAAGATAGTAGTTCGAAGAGTTTCCTGCAAGGAGGAGTGTCTGGTTTAGAGATTGCAAGCATTAAAACATGTGGCTAAACCTCGAAATCCCCATCTAGTTGGAGGTAGTACCTGTCATCATGGACTGGCACTCCCCATTCTTCATCATGAAATGCTGTGTAGCATGGTTCTACATGATACAGGAAAAAATACCAAGTTAGCAAAACCCAGTGTACATAATAAGACGACGAATTATGGGACCGAAACGATGAAAGAAGCCAAGGTTCGATCAATTCTAGCGTATGAAGAAACATTCATGAAATTTGTGAATCATATCAATAACTCGTAGCAAGGCGGGACAGTGGCTTAAACATAGTATGATTTTACTGACGAAGATTACAGATAACATTCAGCATTTCCGAAAAAAGCAACAGTGATAACAACATGGTTTAAGAGGAAGCCTTCCATGCTGTCGGGATTATTCACGTACCCATGAATCTAAAGTTCTTCCCCCATTGGAACAATCACAGTAAAGTAACTAGAACCAGATATAGGAAGTCAAGTCAAGTTCCAAAATAGAGCTTATACAAGAGTTGAAGTTCAATGCTGTTTTCTCTAATTCGTGCTTCCAAGCTCAGCATTGCCTTTTCGCCTTCCATTCGAAGGACTTAATGAACTATATGGTGTCATTCGTCTATCACCAGTTCAACAAAAACTAGGCTTTCTCTTCATATCCTTAACAGAAAGCGGAAATATCAAAAGAATACTAAAATCGACAATTCGACAGGGACTCACCAGTAGTAGGAGTAACCCAAGGGCACCTCTTCTTGCTCTGATCAAAGCAATCCACTTTACTCACTAACCCACCGTCGTCAGTCGCCTCCGCTGCCGCAATTCCACCACCGCCGCCACTTTTTCCTTCCTCCTTGTCAATTTTGACTCCACATTGCCGCCTCTTAACAGCGCCACCGCTCCGGCGCATTCCACCCGAGGCAGACCACACCGTCGACGACGAAGACGACGACGCCAGGCTGCTGCTGCTCGTGGAGTCCGAAGACGCTTCCGAGGAGCAGGACGCGTTCATCGATTTCTGCCGCAGAACCGCCGCCACTTTCCCTGATTTCCTCTCCTTATTGGCCTCCAGCTCTTGCTTCCGGGGCTGCTTCCTCGCCGGGGTTTTCGGGGCCTTGTTCTCCGGCTCGGCGATGTTCAGCGACCGGAATCTCGGCGGGCCCGACATTGTCCGATTCTGCCCCGATTGAAGAAATGCCTCTCTCTTCTCTAGGTTTCAGCTTCGAATCCGCGCTTCCCACAGGCCAAATTTCTCGCTAAGAGCAGGAATTGGGCCCGCGCACTGTCATCAACAAGTGCTTCCGAGATATGGGAGTGGGGAAAGTTAGGGTCTTTGGTGTTTGGGAGGTGAGGGAAAGTGGAGAGAAAACTCTACAGGGAAGGGAAGTGTTGACCTTATTGTGTTCCGGTAGCGAAAGCAAAGGTAAGGGGAAGAGGAAAGGCAACTAATCAAAACGTGACACGTAGGATCAGGAAAGGTGCCACGTAAACATAAATAATAATTGAGAATGCAAATAACAGAAAGAACAGCTGTCGGGGAATGTTAGGACCCGGTTTTTCTGAGGGGTCGTTGATGTTGGTTTGGGTTTAGGCCTAAGCCAATGGATTCTGTGACTGTGGATAAACTAATAATAATTTAGTGGCCTTAATCTCTTAAAAACTACGATAATTAAGTCGCTAATCATCTGTGAGTATGCTACAGCTGGTTACTGAAAGAAAGAATTAGTCATACTAGCTACAAGTATTGTAGGCCACTCAGAAGAAGGCAAACAAATGAAAAGAAAATCCAGCTACATATGATTATCATGTATGATGGTATCTGTCTGTAAATCATTCTAATAAATCTTAGTAGGAAGGAAGGGTTAGTTAGATGGTAATCATTTGAGAATATTAGGTGGATTCCCCTTTGCAAGTCAAAATTTAGTGGGTAGACAGATATTATTATTTACACTTTTATGAATTATTATTAATAAGAAAATTTAGGATATGAATTTGATACGGGTTTTATAAGGTGAGATTGTGCTCTGCATACAACCGCGATATAATTTGAGGACGGCCAACTTATAAATATTATTATGTCACATTTGAAGAGATGTACTTTGATTCAATAGGTCGAATGCCAACCACTTATCATTTTTCTACAAATAGTCATACTAGTATTGTTTTAATGATTGTTTGTCAAGATAAGAGTCAATGAATCATAGATGTCATTATTTCATAGTACAATTCGATCTACTGATTGAACTAATATTATTTTCGTGTATGATTATACTCACGACAAAATCTACGAAAATAGAGATTGTCATGAAAATTCTTGTTTATATAAGACAAACATCCGAAATAGACCCGATAATTCCGATAATTTCCACATGTTCTTCCCATGTCCCACTTAAAACAAGCATGTTGATGATACCAATAAAGAGTGATCAAACTATGGTCACCAGGCATGACTCATAAGCCTCATGGATGGACACGATCGATCCCTTACCCAACAAGCTTCAAAGTGCTATAAGTCGCGCGTTAGCCTATCTTGAGAAGGAAGAGATATAAAGGTTGGACAGCCGAAGTACCTTACTTCCCAACTTTAGGGGATGTCTAAATGTCATTAGATACTTAATTTGAAGATAGAAAATATGCATTGATAGGGTACTAGTACTAGACAACATTATGGGTTAAGCTGTAACTACTAACTGGACAACCAAATTCTTTTCATCGACTCAGGTAACTAAAATTAAGCAACAACCTATTATGAAAATCCAAGTGACTTTAATATATTTATGCACCGGATATGATCAACACATTCAGATTCAGAATGATACTCTTCTGTCTATATGATGATGTGATCCAGACTATCCATTGTGGAATGCAACTCGTCGATATGTTTCTACTATTCTGCTATGGGCTACGGGTCATGTTTCATTTTGAATTAGATACAGCAACATGCTACTACTTCACTGTGTGACATTTGTTTCACTTCTGAATTAGATACAGCAACATGCTACTACTTCACTGTGTGACATTTGTTTCACTTCTATTATCCATATCCATGGAGGACCATGGGGACGATGGATAGAGCAGAGCCCTAATTGATCGATTCTATAAATCCAGATTGTACACTAATACGAAATTAGAGGAATGTGTGACCTGTATATTATTCTTATGCTAGCTGCTGCTGCTTCTCCCTACCGGTGTCTACATATTGAGTAGTTAACTCTCGCCACTTCCAGTCTTCCATAAACAGTCTGCAGGGTTTCGAGTAGATAACCATCTTTCTAGTTAGAAATAGAACAATTCATATCTGCCATCCTTGGAACAATGTCTTCTTACCAGATTATCCAGACAACATTGAATATATATGAGTTTTTCCCTCTAATAGAAACAAAGAAAGAGAAACAAATTTCCATCTCATATACTGGGACTGGGACCCTCCTCTATCCATCTATCCTCCACACAATATGGACTTCTTCAATCCTCTGGTTCGTTCCACCAAAGAGCAGCAAAGAGCAGTAGCCACTACTGGCCAGTACTTCCACAGCCCAAGAAACCACACTAATGGCGTCAACTTGTCTACTTCCAAAAACCATCTCACAGTTTAACCCATCTCATTCCCTTCCGCCATCTCAATTCAACAGGATCCCACCATTACCAAACCATCTGTGTACACTGAGAAAATCACAGCCGAGTCAGAGCCACAAAGTGCACGCAAAGAAGAAGAACCCCTGGCTGGACCCTTTCGACGATGGTCCGGACCCGGAACAGGAGTATGGTTCGCTCTTTGCTGACGGGAAGCAAGATGAAGACCCCAGGCCACCTGATAACCCAAACAACCCTTATGGCTTCCTCAAGTTCCCTGCTGGCTATAGCGTTGAGATTGCCTCCCTTGCCTTGAAAGTTCGAGGTGATGTGAGGAGATGCTGCTGTGTCATCTCTGGCGGTGTTTATGAGAACTTGCTCTTCTTCCCTGTCATTCAGCTCATCAAGGACAGGTGGAGGGGTCTTCAGACTTCTGATGACAAAATATAGAAATGTGATTGGAAAACCTTCTGTGTCATCGGTCTTTTGTTTGTTGTTTTAGGTATCCTGGTGTTCAAGTAGATGTGATTACATCTGACAGAGGGAAACAGACATATGAGCTGAACAAGAATGTGAGGTGGGCTAATGCCTATGACCCCGATGATGATTTCCCTGAACCAGCAGAGTACATGGATATGGTTGGAATTATTAGGGTCAGTTGGTTTCTTCTGCATTGCGGTTGGCGTCTGTAGTTGACAAAGGTTGCAATTTCCATGCGTACCTTTAAAGCTGTGTAGACTGTTCTTGAATGCAGGGCAGGTACTATGACATGATCTTATCAACAAAGCTAGCTGGGTTTGGACATGCAACATTCCTCTTCCTGTCGACGGCTCGAGATAGAGTCAGCTACGTGTACCCGAATGTGAATGCGGCTGGGGCAGGGCTTCTTCTATCAGAGACATTCACTCCAGAGAGTTTGAACCTCTCGGAAGGAGGATTCCACATGTGAGTAAAGTTTTCAGTCACAATGAGTCAATGTTGAAGGCATTGACTAATATGCACGGGTTTTAAAAGTATTGGACTTCATCAGGTACCACGAGATGCTCGATTGGCTGGGGAAACCATTTCGAAGTGTGCCGAGGACACCTGTTCCTCCTCTGAAAGTTTCAATTTCCAGGAAGGTGAAGGAGGTGGTGGAGGCCAAATACAAGGCTGCTGGTGCTGAGACAGGAAAGTATGTTGTCATTCATGGGATTGAATCGGATTCCAAGGCTTCCATGCAGTCCAGAGGGGACACTGATAGCTTGCTGTCCATTGATACATGGGCAGACATTGCTGAGTCTATAAGGTACTGAAATCTTTATCAAAATTGGAAAAGCCTGGCCACCTAAATAGTGCTGATACATATGTGTGTTCTTGTGGGAAGCAGAGGGTTGAAGCCAGTTTTTGTCATTCCACATGAGAAAGTACGGGAAAATGTGGAGGAAGTTGTGGATGATCCAAGTATAGTCTTGATCACAACTCCTGGACAGGTACTAACTAAGAACCTGCAAAAACTAAATGCTCCAATCTAGTAGTACCAATGGCTTGCATAAAGTACTATTCATGGCTTGATCTCGAGTCCCTCTGTAATGTGGTTTCAGCTGGCTGCTCTTGTAAACGACTCTGCTGGTGTAATAGCTACAAACACAGCAGCGATCCAGCTGGCAAATGCCCGCGGGAAACCCAGGTAGAATCTTCACATTGAAAAGAAGGGTAGATAGAATAGAATTAATCAATATCTGAAACGGATTCTAAATCATGTGTGCCTATATGCAGCATAACATATCTTACTTTTCTTTTCTTTCGGCAGCATTGCGCTGTTTTCTTCTGAGGAGAAGGGGAGACTGTTCGTCCCAAATGCAGAAGAGAAGAAATGCACCATTATATCATCCAAAACCGGCAAACTAAAAGACATAGATGCTGGAGCTGTTGTAATCCTAGCCAAGAAAGCTTTTGATCTCCCACTTGCTCTGGTCTAGGATACACATGTTAGATTTCCCAGCATCTTGTTTCTCATAAAAGGCACTTCTCGACCCTTTTCGATACATGTATATGCACAGACATGTTATCCAAGAATGTCAAAGAGGCTAGTAATACTCTCAACTCATACAAAACAAAAGCATGCATACATGCTGCTATCCTCAGTGTTCCAAGCAAATGGACTAAAAAACAGTACAAATGTAAGACAGCCTACCTAGACCTAACAGGTTACTGCTTACTTTCAGCTACTAGAGTCATTTCCAGAAAACCTACCTAAAAGGAAATCAGTAGGCTCTCTAGTGCCCATCACACTTGTTATTGAGAGCACAAACCCTAAATGAAATTGTCAGGGGTATAGCACATATCAGATAACCTTCTCAACTCCAGGAAAGAAGTATCCCTTTGCCTCTTCAAAATCTTTGTGTTAATCGAATCTGAAACTTGTTTTAACTCAAGCAAGCGGCTTAGCACGAGTTGCAGGATCCTCTTTCGACTCCACAAAGCTGATGAACAGATAGCCCAAGCACCATAACAAGATGTACTGAAATGGAAACCAAGCTAGACAAGCCACCAGACTCATAACGCTACCAACATACTGTGGATCTCTTATCACCCCAAATGGAAACTGAGTCACCCACGGGATGCTCTTCCCGAACCGCACACCATAGTAAGTCCCTGCTTCTCCAAGCAATTGGTACACCCTGCAATTTTACAACATTAATTTAAACTACTTCAGGAATTCGAAAAAGCATGTAAAGCTTGAATCTTTACTCTAGTACAAAAGAGCACAGCAGATTCCATTGAAAACCCACAAACAATAGAGAAGAAAAAAAAAAAACATACAGTCACCTGAAATTGAGGAACTGGCCGAAGCCAAAGAGCGGCCAGAAATAGAAAGGAGGGGGCCATGAAAGAGAAGAAGAGACGGAGTAGAGAGATATGAACTGGAGAAGCTTGAGGAAGTGAGAGACTTGAGCCATGACCTTGCTCGGGTCCCGACTTCTCCCGCAAAGGTTAACCCATGCCTGTGGGTTTGTCCACAGAAGGTAGTAGAATGGGAACGGCAGTAACACACCTATTGCCGCCACAATCCCCATTTCCGTCCGATTTTCGAATCTCTGGTAGCCCCTTTTACCCTTGCGAGAAATGAAGCGAGTGTCCTCTTCCTCCTCCACCCGCCGCCGCCAGGCGGTGCCGTCTTAATTTATATTCTGCGGAATCAAAACCAAGAAGACGGGTCCAATGGGTAGCTTTCTTTTTGATGGGCTGGGCTTTAGGTTCGCGCAGGCCTAATGATGAGTAGGGGTGGGAAACGGTGCGGTTGCGGTTAACTGCACCGCAATTTGCGGTTAATTGCAACCGCAAAACACCCATATTGGCCAACCGCGACCGCGACCACAACGGTTAGCGGTTAACCAAAAACCGCAGAACGCGGTTACCGGTGAACCGCGGTTTATGGTTGTGAAAACCGCAACAACCGAAACACTATATGAAACCGCAGTTAGCACTCTAACCGACAATTAACCGCGAACTAACCGCAAAAAAATCATGGAAAAAAAAACACAGCAGCTATTGTTTTGTCTATTTTCACTTCCATCAAACCGCAGTTCGGGTTGGTCGAGGGTTCCGAACTTGATCTGAACATAATAGATTACTTAGAGAAATCAACTAAAATTCATTAACTCAAACTTGAAAAATAGATAATAGATTCAAATAGGGGTGGGCAACGGGGAACGGGTATTTGGGATACCCGTACCCGTCCCGTTTTTTTAGAGTTACGGGTACCCAAATACCCGTAATTGTTTTTACGGGATGAGACTTTGGATAAAGATTCGCTACTTTGGGTACCCGCGGGTTACCTGTTAATACCCGTTTGGATATTATGGGTACCCGTTATACCCATTATTCTAAAAATCCAAAACCTATTTACTCTTGTAGCTTAGTTTTTTACCGCCAAATTGATCCCGTCACATCACACTCTAAGCACTCTACTGAACTCCATCTCCAGATAATTAAGCTTCAGTGTGATAGTTTTGATGAATGTTTAGCTTGGTGAATTCTTGATTTGAGGTTACTGGGCAAGCAGTTTTGAAACAGGTGAAGGTAAGAGTTTTTTCAATCTAATGAATCAAGGATTTGAGCTTCTGTGGAGGAAACTTAGAGGATGATGATTGGTTGGACAAAACTTCCTATTTGGATAGAGTGTGGCAGAAGAGCATCCGAGTTTAATCAATAAAATTTTATGGTTGATTGTAATTTTAATTATGCTCCACCAATTGGACGGGTATTTATGGGTAGTATAGGTACCCGTTATTCGTTCCGTATGGGTAATGGGTACCCGTTAACCGTACGAGTTTGGGATATGGGATGGAGATTGCTCTTCAAATTGGACTGAGTACTCGTTTAAAACGGGACGGGTATCCCGTCCCGTCTCGTTGCCCACCCCTGGATTCAAAGAACACTGGGGTTGTCAACTAGGGCAATAGGAAAAAAAACTTGTTCGAGCCAAGGAAATCATCAAAGACCAAGACCATTGTATCGATCCAAAATCAAACAAATTACACAGTCTTAACCTTGATAAAAAAAAACATCAAAACATGAACTCCATGTAGCAGCAGCTTTGAGAAGACTCCGGTCCAACAAAAAGAATGATCTAGCAACAACGAGCAAGATAGCCACAGTCACGAAGTCACCCCTATACTCCATCAACAACAAGCAACTTTGAGAGGAGTCTAGAGTCTAGAGTCCAGACTCCCACAAAAGAAATATCAAACATCAACCAACAACAATCACGAAATCGCCCAGCACATCATCAGCAAGCATTCGATCAAAACATGCCACAAACAATTTCATATCAATAGAACTGAACATTCATGTTCTTGCAACCTTGCTCAAATAGCTAAACTAACCCAGAGAATCAGACTTGAGACTAACACCTTAATGGTGAAGATAATATCACAAAGGTTGGCTAATCTTCAAGAAGCTTGAACCCCTGAACTTGATATACACGTTTAAACACAACATATTAACATTTTAATAATAAATGCTGAATAAAACTTGCATGCTACAACTAACAAATTCAATATTAGAAGGTAGTTTGTTACCTTCAGTTTCAGCATCAGGTTAGATGAAATTGCCTTCACCTGGGGAGGAGAAACATCCTTCCAGCACTCCTGCAGCAGTAGCTTCTACAAGTGCAAACAAATTACAATGGAAGTTTAGAACAAGTTTGATGCAAATAATGATGGGAAGCATAAACATATTAGGTTTCAAATAAATTACCATCAGTAAAATTATTTTGCAACCAGCTTGTTGTGCACATAAGTATCTCTACAGTAGCATTGTTTAGTCTGCTCTTATGAGGATTCAACAAACAACCTCTTGATCTGAATGCACACTCAGATGCAATAGAGGTAGCTAGAATAGCAAGAACATCCCTCAATATGGCTTGTAATATGGGATATTTTGGGCCATTCAGTTTCCACCACATTAAAATATCAAATTCGGCTGAACGAGCGAGAATTTCCTCATTGAGGTAATCAATGTAGTCAAAATCTCGCTTTAAAACTTAAAAACTTACTATTTTATGTTTTTAGATCACTAAAACGCTTCTACACAAAATCTCAGTTTTTATAACTTATGTAGTTAAAAACTCCGCTTTAAAACTTAGCAACTTACGATTTTACGCTTTTAGATCACCAAAACGTTTCTACGTAGAAACTCGCTTTTGACTACATTGGAGGTAATTGTCCAATTCACTTTGGACCATAGTAACCCTTGCCTTTTTCCTTTGACTCATAAAAAGGTCAAAGTCTAGATCAACGGCAGCAGAGTAGAAGACTCAATACCCCAAGAAACATCCAAAGTCTTCTTCTCATTCATTCTGGTTTGATACTCTAAAACCATATCAGAAGATAACCCTTAATAGATGTCAAACAAGAACCTTCATCTCCATACTTTTCAGCATAATATTCCACAATATCCAACTTAAACTATGGGTCTAATACGTGAGCAATAGCAAGGATTTACTGAACCAACCATCTTTCTGATCACATCATTAGCATCAAAACACCACTAATACATTTCCAGCCTTAGATCACAAATACGAGGGAAGAACAAATTGGTTGTTGGATTTTGGAACCATAGAACATATCAAACACAAAGCAAAAACACCAAAGTTTATCACAAACGAGTACAGCAAATTGCCACTGCTCAGTCAAAGGCAAGTATTTTTATTGAGCAAATTGAACTTTATCACAATCCATAACAAGCCCTTTATCACAATTGAACTTCAATTGTTTTGCAATTTCTTTGGAAAATTCCACCCTTTTAGGGGTGGCAGACTAGTACAAAACACTGGCCTTAATGATATATATTCTCTCTTTAACAACATCTAATTCATCCTTCAAAATCAAGTTAGATTTGAACAGAACACCTCATTTGTATCAAAGCCGCTTCACTAATCAAAATAATTTGGTAGCAAAATGATTTATACTTTTTTCAACCAAATAATTTTGGTATTAAAATGACTTTTAGTTTTTACAACCAAATAATTTGGTAAACTAACGATTTTTCATTTTTCCCAACTAAATAATTTGGTTGTAAATTCAATAAAAAATCTTAACAATAAATTATTTTATTGTAGTTGTATTGATGTTTAATAACTTATCTCACTGCTCTGCATGTTTGTTTATGCCATGTACGGATTAACTAGGGAGGTTGCTTGTTTTTCTGTTGGGAAACTTGAAAATCTAATCATCTTGTTCTTGAGCTTTATTCTACCTTTCTCCATTTCACAATGGCTCTTTCTCTAGACTTTCTCTATCATCCTTCTCTCTCTCAAGTTTCAAACTCTAGATCTGGGTTTCCAGATGCATCCTGTTGGGGGTGTTCGAATAAGAGGGCCCAGATGAATGGGCGAAGCCCAGTAAGAAGGGCATGGTCTAAGCAGCTTACTCGAGGCCCTGCGGTGGGCTTACTCGAGGCCTTGCGGTGGGGATGCTTGTTAGGCGCCTGAAGTGCACTTGAAAGATTATGAGCGCCCGAAGTAGGCGCCCGGGAGTCACCCGCATTAAATGTGGTGATGACGTGGAAACCCGTACGTAGTGATCCAGGTAAGTGATGAACAGTTATAAATAGCCGGGTTGGTAAGCATTTACTCAATTGGGCTTCTCTCACTAAAATTGTGCATTGCAAGCACTTCTCTCACTAAGAAAGTTACTGACTTGAGCGTTGGAGGACTAACGGGCCACAAGGCCCACCTCTGTGAGTGCAGGCTTAATCGTGAGGGAGTCAGCTGGTACGGAAGAAAAGTAGGCCAATCGAGTGGGCTTCAACAATTGGCGCGCCAGGTAGGGGGGAACACAACCAGGGAGCGCCTAGTTTCAATGGAAGAGGGTGGAAGTGAGATGGAAGAGCAACACATGGAGGAGGCGTCTCAAGAAGCAGGAGGAGGAACGCCCAGCATGGGGGAGGATGAGGGAAGTGAAGACCCGCGCCCGGATTCAGATGGGGCCTCGGTGACTAAGAAGGAATTGTTCAAGATCATAGCCGATCAAGACGAGGCCATTGGGATATTGAGGAGAGAGGTGGAAATGTTGAAGGAGGGCGCCCCAAGCCCCGGAGCAAGGAAGATGGAGCGTACGATGGAAGCTGAAGGGGAGTCCAGCTCGCTGAGGCGCCTTGCCAGCATGAGGCGCCTGGCCGATTATGGAGATTCTGAGGGAGAGAGGAACGTGTGGATGCCGGGGCGCCCGCATCGACAGTTTGTGGTGAGGCAGCCTTTGGCCCGGAGCGTGCTCATGGAGCCCGCTAGTACCAACATTCCACCACTTCCCACCTATGATGGTACGGCGGCCCCGGACGACCACCTCAACAGCTACTTCACCAAAATGCAGCTGTACAACAGTTCGGACGCAACTTTATGCAAGGTCTTCCCCTCAACATTCTCAGGCGTCGTATTAGATTGGTACCATCAGATCGAGGAAGGGCGCATAGAATGCTTTGAGCAATTTGCGGCGATGTTCCTGGCTAAGTTCGCAAGTAGAAAGAGGCGCACACTGACAGTGGGCTCCCTATTCAAGATCAAGCAGAAGGAGGGAGAAACCTTGAGGGAGTTCTATGAGCGGTGGATCCCGGTGGCCATGGCGGTAAGAGACGTGCAGCCCCCGGTGCTTGGAGTCCTCCTTGAGGAGTGCACCACCAGTGAGGAACTTTGTCGGGCGCTAGCT